TCAAGGAGACAAGCATCAATCAATACACAAGCTGGAAAAGTGGTCCAGCTTGAGGCACAATTGGCCGCGGTGACAACAAGATTAGAAGAACAAGCTCAACGAAATCAAGAGCTGACAACAAGATTAGAAGATCAAGGAAGGCATAATCTATTGTTGAACCAGAGATTTGAGAAACTAATGGAAATGGTAGAAAGTCAACAACATATGCCATCATCATCAGAAGATACTCAAGTAAGTTGCTAACCCACCACCTTTAATTAAACGTAGGAAAAACTTAAATTGTTAATTGATATTCTTCACTTAGTGCATAAGTTAACTTTATACTTCCAGATTTGGTTATATGTTAGTACTAGTTTTGCTAACAAATTTTATTATTAGTCTGAAGAAACTCTAAGTCCGGAAGAGAGGGTTGAAGAAGAGTTTGAAAGGGAGCAACGTTATTTGAAGGTATGCTAGTTTTTTTTTTAATTCAAAGAATTTTTTAAGATTTTATGATGAGAATATTTATATTTGAAAAATAAATAATGTAGGTGATGAATCTGAATCGAAAGAGGATTTCACCAACAAAAAAGTCTTCTGCTCCAAAGAAGAAGAAGTGATTTTTGGCTTGTGCAAGGTTTGTGTCAATCTTTATTTCTCGTCTCTTAGTGGACTATTATGTTGTTGGCTATATCTCTAATTAAAATTTTGAATATATGATTTCATTTTTTTAGGAAGATGGGAGTGGGACAAGAAGCATCTTTATGGATCAAATTTGAGCTATGATGATTCAAGAGAAACAAATTTTTATTCATCAATATTGTTGGCCCTATGAATTTCAACGTAGTTATTTTTATATGAGTTTGAATAATTATGATACATTAAGTACGATTGTTTTAGCTATTTATACATTTGGATGCTATTGATTTCATTAATATTTGGCTTATATATTCTTTATTTAATTTGATGCAAATGTGGATGATATATGGTATTAAAATTTATATAGAAAATGATTTGATGTCTCTAAAACAAGCACTTAGAGGACGACTCATTGTCTCTAATTGTAGTGTATATGGGATACCCATTGTCTCCACAAATGATTATTACAAGATGACTTGTTGTCTCCGAAAATCTACTTAAAGGACACCTTTTTGTCTCGAAAAATAGTTCTTAAAGACGACTATCTGTCTCCATAAATCATATTTAAGAGATGATTTGTTGTCTCAGGAAGTGGTACTCAAAGGACGACTCTTTGTCCCAAAAAGGAGATTTTAGGACATGACTTATGGTCTTGGAAAACATTTCATAAGAGACGAATTGGTATATCTAATAGCACTGTATAAGGGATGATATGTTGTCTCCAAAGATGGTTCTTTGGGAACAACTTGTCGTCTCGAAAACATTGCATTAGGGATAATTAAAAGTCTTCAAAGATAGTTGTTAGCAAGGCTTAATGTCTCGAAAACACTTCTTAGGAGACGACTTGTTGTCTCAAATAATGCTTCATAGGGGACTACTTATTGTATCGTAATATAATTCACAGGGGACGACTTTTTGTCTCCTAAAATATTGCATAGGAGACGACATGTTGTCCTAAATTCGTAGAAAAATGGAGGAAAATTAATTCAAATTTTTTATTTTTTGGAGACGACTATGTGTCCTGATATTGGGGACGATTTTCATTTTTTGTTCCCAAAAGAATAGAGGACGGAACCTATAGGCACCACTCGTGGAGACGAAAATTTTCGTCTCCAAAAGATTTGGAGACGAAAAACCCATATTTTGGAGATGAAATTTTCCGTCCCCTAAACCTATCAATTTTGTAGTGTTCTTCTCCCTCCAACGAGCACATAGTGATGCTTCCATTAATGACGCAAGGCCACCTGATCCCATTCATTGCCCGCTAAATCATCCGCGGCAGTGCCACCGTCACAATCGTCACCACCCTATCAACCTCGACTCCCTCCGGCGCAACCTCTCCGACGAATCCACCACCGCCGACTCCAATAGAGCACAAGTATGTTATTTTATTATTTTTTAATTGTCACGTCACTCATTTAACGGTCAATCGTAAGAGTTGACTTTCACATCAGCAAAAGTTAACGAGACTAACAGGCAATAACCAAACATGAACGGTTAACCTAATTTAAGTGACTACAGATGAAATAAAGTAATTCTAGTGGCTAACGTGAACTTTACTAACAATTCAAGTGACCAAACTTGCAATTTAGCCCATAAATAAATATGGAATGAACGAAAAAAACCTTCTATTAGTTGAGATCATGCTGAATGGAAAGAGTGACATTTGCTCAACGAAATGTCAACGTTGTTTGGGCTGATTCCTTCTCCCGCTTGTTGCTGAGTTTGTTTTGTTGTAAATTTCCTTTTTAAAATTAATATTATTTCGCCATTATAAAAAAAAAATCAAAGCTTTGGTGTATAAGTGTTGAATCATTTTATCTGTTGTCACCTTGAAAGGGAATAGCAGGGGGTGAAGGCTGGAGAAGGAAATCGGAGTTTGGCCATTGGAAATCTAGAAGGAACTTACAGAAATAGAGGAGATTGGTCCGATTACGTGACACATAGGTTGTTTGGGCTGTCGCATTGGGACTTGTCACGGCCTTACTCTTGGTCGTGCGACCCTAACTCTCAATTCCGTTAGAGATGTTAGGCAGCCTTCTCACAATCTCTCAAACTCACTCAAGTCACAAGAAGATGGGAGAAACTCTATAGTTGTATTGCTCACAAAAATGATGGATGATTACAAATGAGGATGAGGTGCTCCTTTTATAGGCCCTCCTTTCTTACAAGGTGTAAATACCTCTCATAATGCTCTCCCCCATTAACACACCCTATTAAGTTTCCCCCATAATGCACACCATTATACCACCTCATAATGTGGCTCTTTATGTGCACCATTAAGCTCATCTTCAAGATGGGGAATCCTAGGAGCATCCTATGCTACTAGGTCTTCCTTAATGCCACACGTGCTTGACTTGGTCATGATCCGCCACATCATTCGCCATGTCGCCCTCCACGCATGACATCCTCCCCCACCTATTCTCGCGACGCCCTCGTCGTGTCCTTGCTACGAAATGCCTCCATCGATCTCGAGCAGCCTCTCCCGACTCTTGAGCCTCGTTGGTGACAGACTACGGAGGGGATAAACTTGTCGACCCTACGGTGCGAGACAGACGGCGAGAATGAGAGAGTGGTGGCAGGGATTTCTTCTAGGAAGGGATATCCATAGCGCTGCCTCAGAATTGAAGCTTCAAGGTCGCCCCTTTTTCGCTCTTTAAACCATCTCTCTCTAAACCTGCAACACGCAATCCGGCCCCGGACTCCCCCAAGCGCTGCCCTCACGGAATTACAACAAGTCCTTCTACCGTGTGCGCGCTGCGGGGGAAAGGCTGACGTGGCAAGAATTTTTTGATGACAATGCTTTATAGTTATGTGTAGATATATTGATTGATGAAGTGTTGTCTGACTTGGATTATTTTTACATTAATTATAGAAATTTAAAACAAATGATAATAATAAAATTCTTCCTTGCCAGATCCTGCACCTCCCGATCTCAATCTGGATTTCTTCCTAACATAGAATTATGCCTCCTCCATGGCTAACGACACTTGCATTCACCATCCCACAAATTCCATCTTGGTTACCTGGATGTGATACTAGAACAACACTCTTAGCATGTTACTATAACAATAGTAATGCAAAAGCTAAAGTAACAATAAATCCCCAATATGGTCTCAACTTTTTAGTTTTTACCAATGGACAATTTTGGTCCAGACTATCAATAGTAACAAAAATGGTCACAATTTTCAATGTAATATATAATTTTGGCTCGGTATTTGAGTTTATCGTCATCATTAGCTATCAACACAATTAATTGTTAGTGACTCAACATGAGTAATCTGGATAGATTTCGTTGAGGGTAAAAGCTAAAGCTACAATAAAATTAAGGACAAATCCCCAATATGATCTCAACTTTTTACAAATGGACAATTATGGCTCAGACCATCAATAGTGACAAAAATGGCCACAATTTTCAATATAATAGATAATTTTGGCTACCGAATTTTAGTTCACCGTCGTCGTTAACAATCAACACATTTAATAGTTAGTGACTAAGCATGAGTTGCTGATGTGACTTCCTTGTCATCCAAAGACTTTTAATTCAAGTTTTATTTACTTATCCAAGCTAAAGATTGAAAACCATTTAAAACATTTCTAGAAAGGGAAAAATAATAATGAATTAGTCCTTGCCCTTAAACTGCCTTCCTCTCTTTCTGATTCCTTCCCTCTGTCGTCCCTCTAGCTCATCTTTCTCCTCTAATACTCCCAAGCCTTGAGAACTTTGTTCAACTTCTCCATTGCCTTCTAAATCTTCAATGTTGCTACGAAACAAAGATAGTCACTTCTAGGAATGGCAATGGGCAGGTCCGGAGCGGGTTTCTTGGTACCCAGACCCGCCCCGTGGCAGGTCGGGTACAGGTCGGGTATTTTATCACGGGTCACAGGTCGGGGCAGGTCCACCAAATGGGTATGCAATTTATATGAAAAACATTACAAATATTCGTTGTTTTTATTATAAGACCAGGAAAACAAATAATAATATGATAAATGTAGTTAAATTATTAGAGAAATTGAGGTTTTCACTAATTTACAACTTTATTATAGCTAAATTATGATGTAATAAAAGAAAATTCATAAGTAAATTGACTAAGATTACATGTAATTTAGGCAAGAACGGGTCGAGAATGGGGCGGGTCAGGGCAGGCCGGGTCGATGAGAGTACCCATGCCCGCCCCGCCCCAAAACAAGCCAAACAGGTCAGGTAAAACGGGTCAGGTCGAAATTGCCATCCCTAGTCACTTCTTCCACAATCAAAATCCCCCCTCTCCCCGACCACAATCTTCATCCGGTGTTCATCACTCAAAATCTACTAGCTCAGCTCACCAGAACGAAATTCTCATTCGATGATTCTATAGAATCCCCAATTTATTGATCTACGAGCTCAATTCAATTCTAGTCCAAAGCTCAACAATTGCTCACCTTTTCTATATTCGGAATCACACTCACTCACCGAGTCTCTAGGGTCGTCACTCTCAGTTTTGTGTCCTAAATCATTCAATTTGAGTTAGCCACCTGAAACTGGTCTATCTTGCTAAAAACAAACAGTCAAGCTAGGGTTACCGAATATGGTTGATTCGCGGACTAAGTTTCTCTCTTTAAGACGTCAGTGACACTACCTTGTAATGCGCACGACAGACTATCAGTCGGTTGCCTCCGTGATAAAACAATCACTATTTGTTAACTCTTGGTCATGCAAAACTGGAGCTACTTGAATCTCACTCTTTTCGTGTTTCTGCTCTCGTGATCGTGTATCTAAAGCGTCTTGGAGTTGACTGTTTATAGGAGCCAAAAACCCCCATCGAATACCCTCCACAGATTTATCAATTCCATCAATTTATCAAAGACAAATCTTCCTCTAACACATGGTCGCTAAAATCAGTTGCCTCTACCATCCCATTCAAACCGATGTTCATCAGCTATCCATGATTACTTGAGCGACTTTAACGTAACTCTCCATATATTTGAATGACTAATAGATTATTGATTATTAGTCTGTAGGAAGTAGGGTATAATGACAATCAGGCCTACCAATAATACATATTTTACAAGTTTTATTAGACTTATAGTAGAAAAAATGTTGTGCATCATTAGATAAGTACTGGGCTAAATATAGTTGTATATCCACAACTATCAGGTTTGTGACAAATATATCCACAACTATCGAAATACATGAAATATCCATTTCCGTCCACTCTATTAACTACGTTAATTAACTTGATGACTGGACAGACGGTGGATGCTTAGTTGGTGTATTTCTAACCCACTTAATGATGTGGATTAAAAGAGGGGAAAACCCCTAAAAACCCACAAAATTGAAAGTGTTGTTTCGAAACTTTCAATGAATCAAGCTCGCCTTTTCTCTTTTGAGCAGGGGGGAAGAAATTTTTGGAATCTATTATCAAGGTTTTTTGGTTCAATCGGCTTTCTTAGTTTTCTCTCATCTAGATCTGCGACTCATGTGTTGATTTTTTTCCCCCGACATTCAGATCCGAGTTCGAACCCGACCAGGTGCGAGACGGCGATACCGTTCCTCCGCGGGATCGACCTGCGGCCGATTGCGAGGAGGAGCCTGGAGTTTCTTCTCTGAACAGCACCGTTTCACGTATCAGCGGGAAGAGGAGTGAGAGGAATCAACCAGCTACTATCGGATCCGTCGGAGAGGATCTCGACGCCGACAAGGAAGACAGAGATACTTCCCGGAAGAAGCTCCGGTTGTCCAAAGATCAGTCTGGTCGGCGCCGGAGCTGGTAGGTGTGAAGCCGATATATGCAGCGGTGGAAGAAATCCAAGGAGGAGAAGAATGTTCGGAGATGGAGAAAGAAGCGGCCATGGCGGATTTAGATTAAGCTGGGAGAGAGTGAAGTGGAGAACGAGGCAGACATATTTCAACTTTTTCATTTTCGTTTTTATTTAATTAGCCTATTTACGCGTAAAGTTTGGTTGCTTTGCTTTTTGACTTATGTAACAGGCAGGTGAGATGTCATCGATTCAACATTCCGTTAGTCAATTTAACGTCGTCTGACACGCCGTTATAGTTTCATATGGAAGTGGATAGATTTGTCACACAACCTTCCAATTTTTGAAGATTTCATATATTTCGATAGTTGTGGATATATTTGTCACAAACCTTATAGTTGTGAATATATACAGTTGTATTTTACCTAAGTACTAATTTCTCTTTAAAAAACTGGAGCCCCTTATGTTAAATTCTAGCTACGCCACTGCTCTCCTATATCATATATTTATATGAGTCAATATGTCCTGACCAATGATTTTCTTCTATATCGTATTTAATGATTTTCCTCTATATCGTATTTTTATATGAGTCAATATGTCCCGATCAATGCCCAATAATAAAGTACTCTACCCAAAGACAATCTACGCCGAACTGGATATGAGTATATAGATACCATCCCTACTTGTCCATTGTCATTCCTAATTCATGAACGTTAAAAGAGAGGCAGGGTGGGCTACACGCCTACACCTATACAACCATGCAATGGCTCTTCTTTGCTAAACATACGGTATTCTAGTTGACCATGAAATGGAAACTTTCCAGCGAGAAAGCTTTCGACTTTTGAGCCTCTTACAGTCCCCTGTTTGAGTGGTAGTTGTGCCGCTCCCTATAGAGAAGAACCTATTTTATATCAAAACGTTCAGAGTTCACCAAACAAACTACAACTACAAGCAGGAGACAATAACAGATTGGGCCAGATCATTAACTCAATTTTTCTCACTAGGGCAGCAAGCCTTGGTCAAATCCACAACAGCTGACCGACCGGCCGCTGTAATCTCTACTTCTCCCCTAACTTCTATCGAAGATAAACAAGCTTAAGTCAGAGTGAAGTCGTGGGCCAATTGTAAGTCTCAAGTCTGAATCTTCCTCTCTTTTTCTCATTCAAAAGTACACGCACTTCGGTTTCTTTAAACATCCGCTGAGCTTGGTCAGATTTTCCCTATCTCAAGAACAACAACCCAATATCTTCTGCTCACTGAAGCAGGGTGCGCCTCTGCAGTTTCGAGTCAAAATAACAGCTGGGCTGCTTGTTTCCAAGTTCCCATAGTTTGTTTACCTGAGACCAGAAGCTGGTCGTGGCTTTCCTTTCATGGAGTTCAAGTGCTGAGTCACAAAGATGATTCCCATCACTATCAAAAGGCAACCAACCAATGTGCTGAAGAACAGGGCACCAGGAGTCCTGGTCTGAACAAACCCATAGACCCCATTCGATGTCACGACAATTAGGTCTGTTAGCCCGTCGTTGGAGAAATCCTCTGCGATTATGGCGTGGGTGGGAGCTGCTGGTAACTCAACCTTCGTCTTTATGCTCCCGCCTGGGGATATTACTGCAGCTTCTTGATCTCCAGCTGCCAGGATCATCTGTTGGGTGTCGTGTGCACGAAGTTGGAACGCCTTGAGTGTGGGAACCACAGTGCCACTTTCCATCATTCCTGATGGAGAAGGGAGGTTCGACCACGTAGCATACGTCATTAGCTGCCACTGCCAGATAGCGTCATGGCCATGCAACCCTGGGGCATATGATGTCACCTGAAGAAGAAGATACATGCAGCAGATAGTTAGTCGCTTTAAGGGTTTTGACCAAGTGATTTTATACGAGATATCAAATGAACGAATAAAGAGTGTTTGTTTTAACTTCTACTACAAACTGAAGTGACTTTGAAATTTAGTGTAAGTGAAGAAAACGCATATCTAATATGTATATTTAATTAAATTTTAGAGTAGATGGGATATGACCGATGTGTTCTAGTAAAAGTAAATGATAAGATGATAAATAGTCTGTTTAAGAATATGAAGACATATGTATATTCTCAGAAATTGTTATTAGACGTATAACTTTAAGGATAGATTCGTATTTCTAAATTGCAAGGGTTAAAAATTTATATGAGATTTTTTACCAATCTCGAGTGAATACTAGAATTTTGATCTCCCCTCTTCAAGATTATTTCTTATTTCAGGGAACAGGTCAAGATGACACATACCTCCCCACGATTGGTCAAGAAGATGACATCTCCATGACTGCCCTTCCGATGTTTATGGCCATCGCTTCTCGGGATGAGAATTGGAGCTGCTACCTCTAAAGAAGATACATCTGTAGTATGACCAAAGCTTCTGGAAAATTCTCCATGTTGGAACAAATTCAAGAGAGTGTGGTGACATATTGAAACATTGAAGAGTTGCTCTCGCACTGGTACACCAGAGGTTGCAACAGCCCAGCAAGGTCGTAGAACTTCCATTGATCCCGTCATAACAGTTTTCTCGGCACCACTACCACCCACAGCCTGAACAGAGGAGATGCAACCTCATTACATATTGACCATCATTAATTCCACAGAAGCAAATAGTAAAAAAAAAAAAAAGAATAATCTTTTATATACTGTAATATATCAGAGGAAAATACATGCCTGCACATGATCAAGTACTCCATCGCCGTTAATATCAGCATGAAGACCACCTTCTTGCAGATGAAGCTGGTGAAACCAAATGAGTTCTTTTAGTTAATTTCGTCTAGAAACTGTAAGGTTTCATAACAAGTTACCCCAGCCCTAACCAGTAAGGTGTGGCTCAAGGCACATGACACACTGGTAGACTACCGATAGGTAATACACCAAATAACTAATGAACATACACTTATAGTTCATTTCATGTAGGAAATAGCTAAGAGCCAATGGGCAAATTCAGAATAAATTCTGGCATGCTCCTTTGGTGGAGCTTGGAACTCAGATGAATCCGCCTTCATATGTGGAGAGTGCCTACTGCCTCAGTTCCTCTGATAATTGTAACCTATTCATCAGTTTTATTGTTTGGGCGTTCAGTATATAATTCCTGAATCTTTTATATTCTGGTTATCTACTTTAAAATTATCAATCAAGCTCTGATTACTACAAAAGAAGTACAGATGAGGATTCACCTTACAAAGGGTGCGCCCTGAAGCCAAATGAAGAGCCTCGATCCCTTCCTTCTGATGGGCAACCACAACATTTGGAACCCACCAGAGCTGAGTGTAGTTGGTTATGGTTGGAATGTAGTTCAACTGCTGCATTAATGAAGTAGCGTAGTCAGGACAGCAAGACAATATTATAGAAATGTATCAGTTGAGTTTCATGGTACATTGAAGCTGACGGAAGGTGGCTACCAACGTGTCCGTATAAATTTCCACCGACTTGTAGCACGGAGATTTTTTCGACCATCAAGGTAGCCATTATACAGAGGAAGGAAAAATTGAAATAGATTTCCTACTCCTAGTGACTTTTTGTTAATAGATTATTATACAAGGTCAAATATTGAAACCACAGGCAAACAACATACTTGTAGCTCTTTCGTATTTCTAGTGTCTCATGTGAAAGCCAGAAACCGGTAGACAAGAGAAAGCAATGGCAGCAGTAGCAGAGTGTGTCGTGTTATCAAAAAATTAAAAACCAACAGGTGATAAGGATTAGATGGTAACTGAGCTAACTTTTAATCCGTTCGAGAAAGAAACTGAAGACTATGATTTCATGGAGAAAGATGAGCGCAGCAGACATGAATGTGGACTGACCTGATGGTCCAGCTCTAGCAGTAATTAGTTGCATTTTGCATGTACGATCTGATAGCTTACCTTCTTTGATTTAGCAGAACCCGCATAAGTTGCAGCTTTTCCAATCAAGTTTGAGATCTTCTTAGAAGAGTCCTTTCCAGGAGGATGGTTCTCCTCAGGCTTGTGAAATGGATAATTTGTCGTCTTTCCAGCTACTTTCTTCAATGTTTTTCTTTTATGACGCTTGAAATGTGCCAATTGTAACAAAGTGTCCTCCCTCCTCTCCTGAGACAATGAGAAGAATTGCAGAAAGGATTACTTCCTAAACAATATAGAAAGACAGATAATTCACGAGCAAGATCAAAATATCCTTACCCACCGATGAGGCATAACTCCAAGAATTGATTCCCTAAATTCCCTGCATTCAAACTATAACGAGACAGGGGTTAGACAAACCGATTAATATCTACGAGCATCACATATTATATATGTTGGTCAAGAAACAACTTCAGACGTACCTCTCCCGGCTGACGAGCATTCAGGGCATGCACATCAAGCTTGTAGTTGTGCTGCGGAATTAAATGAGACACATCTGAAGCCTTCTCTTCGATATTCTGAAACAAAAAGAAACCATGCACGAGAACCACACATCAGAGCAGTGAAAGAGTAAGATAAGTTTGTGTCCGGAGTCCTAGATTAGCAATAGAAATATGGCTAACGAGACGATGACAAGTACATTGCATCTCCTTTACAACTGGCATACGCTGTTTGGCATCAGAACATTAGTTACACCTCATAAAACCTCATCACATACAACTTTCAAGAAAGACTGTATACAAAGATAACATGCATTACAGGAAAAGAGAGGCGACCTCATTTTTTCTACTCCATCGAAGTTGACCAGTTAGACCAGCAAATGCGTAGAAAGCAAAATGGCGCAAATTGACTGCTCCAGCGTTCTCGGAGGCCTGTAAAATATGTGAAAATGGCATGACTAACCAGCCTCGGACCAAGGAAAAAGAACAGAAACTTGGCACCCTGGTTGGTGGTGAGTAATCAAGTTGACTAAAAGAAGATAATTTTAAAAACTACCACCACATAGTAAAAAAAAACTGTTGAGAGGGAAGATCAGAGCTTCGACGAAGAAAAACAGAGACAACTGTTCTAAAACGGCATTATGTCATATTACTTCTATACAGCCAACCTCTGGTGCACATACCTCCTTCTCGCTAGCACTTCTTCTGTGCTGATCGGCATTTTTCTCAGCCATGCCAATTTCTTCAAAAGGGTCCAAGTAAATCTGAAATCACAATAAACTACGAGTCAGTGCATCGAAAAGAAATTGATACCAGATTCAACGCATTCGAAGAGCCTTGTAGAACGACCACTAAAGATTCTATGTCCCCGATAGAGCTACAAGTAAACCTACTGACTGAATCAGAGATTAGAAAAGCTAGAAACACACATTGGCTTTACAATAGCTAGAAGTGGAGAAAAGATATGTCCCAAAGAGTGTTTTATCAAGCATAAGGTATCCAGGACTCGAATCAGTTGAAATTTCTAGTTTTTATATGTTCACAGACTAATCATGGTTAGCATACCATCTTCAAACGAAACCCTAAGAACAATACAAAGACGGTGATACCATAATAAGAACAGCTGAAAGTCATTGGAGCTGGCAAAGTTAAATACTTGCATCAAAAAGAACCAAAGGAGAAAAGAGGAATAAACAAGAAATGCAGAACAAACTACAGCAACAGACGCACATGTGGCTGCATTTCCATCCTGCCGCCAACTATGATCAATCCTGCATCTCCATGCTTCAGAGTATAATTACTAATCGAGATTGAAATCTCCCTATGGTGAGCATTATGAGGAAAATCTTCCTGCACGAGGAAACAGAAGGGTAACCTTTACTTCTGTGCACTATAGCTACTATATGCAATATGTATGTAACATATATATATATAAAAGTACACACCTGCAGACTTGTTTCCCATAGCTTTTTAAGATTATGATCAAAGCACATCACTGACCAACCTGAAGTAACAACCACCAAGACCTGTTTTAGTGGGAGCCCTTGCTTATAAATCTTATCAACGACCCCAGTCGCCATTGCCACAGCTCGTCTGCCAGAGGCAACTCTAACTTTATCAGGCAACAATGATACCTCCGCCAGTACTCTTGCTTCGCTAAACCCCTCATCCACTCGCCTAGAGTGAGGCTCCAACACCTGATTCCACACTCCCAATCGGGTTAAAGCCCAACCAAGAGCAAGCAAAGAAACATCAATGGATCAGCAGTTGAACCAACCCCGTACCTGAATTTTGGCATCGTGAGTGGCGACGAGCACTTCTTTCTTACCGTCACCATTCAGGTCAGCTACAATAGGAGGAGGAAGCCTCTCAGCTTCGTACTTGATCGGATACTCGTCGGAAAGATGGAGCCACGCCTCTCGAAACGAGAAATCTCCCTCGTGCTACAAGAACAGAGAAAAGGGGAAATTAGAACCACTATATAAATTCCAGCTCTGCAGAAAGACAAGAGGAACTGAAGTCGCGTTAAGTCTTCTAGGGTTTCATCAAGAGAAGAAAATTAGTAAAACACCTGAAGAGAGAAGAAGATGGCAAAAGCCGAGAGCATGAGAATGGCCAAATCGCGCTTCCTCATATCGGATCCCGATTAAGGTTTTCCTCCGACTATCTCTTTCTCCCTCTCTTTAGCTTGATTGATCGACACAACGCAGTAAAGAAAGAGTCAGCTTTGGATCATTGATCTTCAAGTTCCCGGCTGAGCCAAAGCAGCGATGAAATTTCAGCAGCAGCTAATTAAACTACTCAGTTTTGTCGCGGCCGACCTTCAATCTTTCTCTTTCTCTTTCAGTCCCCTCGCTGAGGGCGATGTTTTCACAGGCCAATTACATTCACAGTCACCGAACTTTCCGTAGATAACACAAAGGTTATTAGATTATAGGTTTTTTTATAAGGGTGATATAGATTTTTATTTTTTTTATTAAGGTACTACTTAACGGACTATTTAAAGAATTCGAACCTGCGACCTCCAAATTTTAAACGGCATGAAACGCCTGCATGGAAATTATGCTTTGCCAGGAATGGCAATTCTATCTGCATGGTTAGAAGTTGTAAGTGGGCTGGGCCAGGGTTACTCTTACTCCCGAACAAAAGAGATTAATGGTGGTGGCTATACTAGTGAATCAACGATGCATCGTGGGACTGACTTCTGTTTCTGGGTCGGCAGCAACATCATCATCCACTCGAACTCGAGGATCTTCGAGATCGGGCAATGTCCAATATCGGCTCCTAAATTCTTCAATAATACGGTCTTCTACATTCCTTATGCATTCAAACCTCTTGTGCCTTCAAACCTTGACAATGAATTTGAATGCTTCATTACAAAACTTGAACGAAAGATCGTATTCTTGTTTAACATGAACAACTCTTCTTCGAATGGTGAGAGATAGCTCCATGTGTTTGAAAGTGGCAACAAGAATTGGTCCGGACAAAATGTTGTGTCTACACTATCATGGATAGAGAATTCCTCTTTCTGTCGGCGTATACGATTCGTACGCGTACTCATGGAATAATCCGATTGGGGTACGAGCTTGGTATGAATAGTGGAACCTAATCAAATAAAGAATGCTACATTCTATATGTCACCTACCAATACTAACAAGCCCTCACTTAAGGGTGGTAATTCAGTCGGTTCAGTTTCGACCGAACCAAAATTATGAAAATCGGGTTCCCGAATTTTCCCAAATCTCAAACCGAATTATAATTTGGTTTCGTTGGGAACTTCACACAAAACCGAATTTGTGAGGCTACTTGTATCTTCTCCCTTTTAAATTATTTTTCACCCCCAATATAAACAATAAATACGCATTTATATGCATTATCAATAATAAAATCAAACATTTCAACACATAAGTCATAAAACACTAACGTGATTCAAATATTTAAGTCTTATAATTAAACAACCACAAACATAAAATCCACCATTTGGAGCTTGCAATTATAGTAATTCGGTTTTTCAATCGGAAATTCGATTCGGTTGAAAGAACCCTGATTTTCGAAATATCCAAATTTCCCTTCCGAATGTCGAACCGAATAGCATTATTTCGGTTTCAGTTCGGTTTAATCTAGTTTCGATTCGGTTTTACCGAACCGACTGCCCGCCCCTACCCTCACTGCATTGCATGGCCCAAGACCTAACCTTTTCCCTAGCTTTCAATGGCTTACACTTAACTCGGTTGAAGGCTCGGTGATACATCATCTTGAAAGCGGAAGATAAGTTTTGTACTGTATTAATTTCTCAAACCCTCTTGCTGAGTGGGCGTCGGTCGGTCTTTCGACCAGATACCCCCCCTAAAAACCGTACATGCGGATCTCACACCATTCCATCCCAGATCACTACACCAAGCCCCACTCCTGTTGAGTCCCTAAGGATGCATCAACATTAATCTTCATACATCCTCTTGACGGTGGTGAACGAAAAGCACCCCTATTATTCCCATTTACAGACAAAGGCGTAGAATTCACTTTTTGAAAGTTAAATAAAAAAACCATTGACATAGAAAATAAGCGTCGAAGGCCACTCGGTTAAAGGGGTTAGGTATCTGCAAGATGGCTAAAGTCAAAGAAGCTGCCCCACTCCCCCCAACTACCATTTTTCTTTCCTTATATATGTGTGCACTGCGTCAACACTGGCGAAAAAGAGGTTTCCTTTACTGAAGAAGAAGGGGTGGGTCCTTCGGTGTTGTTTGAACCTAACTGAGTGTAGGAGTGAGGTTCACGAGAATGGGTCAGAGGAGAATAGGTCAGAGGTCTAGACCACACCCCTACCTAGGACAAGTACATTCAGGCCCTTATTATCCCTAGGACTATGATGGTGACTACCTAGGACTATGATGGTGACTACTCTTCGAGGAGACACGGCGTCGTTTCCATGGTTTGCTGAACTGGTCAACGCTAGATCCAAACGTTGTCGCTTGGTGCTCGGGGTGTGGCTTTGGTCTCGTTGGTGCTAACGCGCCCGACTCTCTTGGCGGTGGCGCTGTCGCGCTTCCTTGGTTGTGTCGGTGTTAATGCGCCCGACTCTCTTGGCGGCAGCACTGGAGTACTTCCTTGGCGCAGCGAGATCCGAGTCACATACCCAACAATTGCCCCCCATCAGGGGGTATTCCGCGAATGCCGCCTGTTTGATTTACGCGCGATTGACTCGGATTTGCGTGATCTCTGCGAGGTTTTCCGTGCTGTCGTCGTTCGGTTGCCGCGCGATTGACCAGGGTTTATATGGCTCTCATAAGATTTTTTCGGGCCGATGGTTGTTTGGTTTTCACGCGATTGACTAGGGTTTGCGCGATGTTCACGGGATTCCCATGTTGGCTGCGCGTGACGCTTTATTGAGATTGGATTTTTGAGGATGTTTTTTCTCCTCCGCGGGTGTGCCATGCCCCCCAGGCAATGCGCGGAACATGTGACGTCATCGGCTAGTGCCTACGTCTATACTAGGTGTCCACGTGTCTTTGTATGACTGCTCGGTTTTGGCGGCCGTTTTGAAATTCGAAAGGACCCTGACGGTTACGTTTCTCGATGCACCTTTTAACCTTTCAGCTTCCCTTGTCAACTATAAGTAGTTTGCTATCGGGGGCTGAAACTCATTCTTCTTCTTCAAGTTCTATTTCCCCTTTCTCTGAATTGTGTTTATCTTCGAGATTCCTCTCCTTCTTCTACAACCTCGTTTCTTACTTGCTGCTGCAAATATTCAAAGTTTGCCATGGATAGCATCAACATCGACGAGATCGAGGTCGTGCAACGCGAAGAAGGTAATCTCTCCTCTCCTTTGCATGTTTCTACTAATCCTTCGCTGGATCTGGACGATTCCGGCAACAGGGACGGCCACGGGGCTGATGACGATGAGTTTCCGGCGACGCCGTCATACGACATCGATTCGGAACAAGGTTTCCACGGCTCCTCTGATGCGGGTATGATGGCGTCTGGGAGTGGGCAGGCTGGCACAAGTGCTCGCGGGGTGTTAATAATCCGCCGCGACCGTACCGGAGGATCTGGGGGCCCGAATCGTGAGATGCGCGAGGGGTCTGATACACAATCAAAGACACGCTGTATCGCGCGCGTGACTGAGGCGATGAGCCGACTATGGTTCCGCGGTGTAGGGGCAGCCTACACGATTATAGATTGGGCTGAGATGTGGGGCGATGAGCCAGCGCCGCGGGATAGCCTTCTGCGGGGACCTGATCATGCGTCCATCTACGAGCGGAAAGAAGTTGTTCGCGGGTTGGGCTTGCCCCCCCAGCTGGCAGTACGCGATTCCTTCCACGCGGAGCACAGTCGGCAATTGCCCCCCAGGGTGGATCGGGGTGTACACAAAGTATTGGGTGATGGGGTTTAAGTTCCCCATCGACCCATTGCTGTGCGCGATATATAGGCGGCTCAACTGCTCGGTTGGGCGCCTTTCTCCTTCAGTTATCATGCACACGAGTTGCCTCCGCCTCGCGTGTAAGAGGCTTAACATTCAGCCATCTTATGGGTTATTTCGTAAGATGTATAAGATCAAGGAGCCAACGAAGAAGAGCGACTGTTTTTCAATCAGGCAGCGCGACAAAATACCCGACGGTTTCATGTACGGGTCCCCCAAGTTGAAGAAGACCTGGTTCGAGCGCTTCTTCTATGTTAAGCCGGCGTCGGGGGAGTGGGCGAGTGAGCATATGGAGGAGCCAACTGTTTGGAAGAAGGGTAGCACGCACGGATACGAGTCGGACCTGGGCAAATATGTCAGGCTCGACGCTGAATATGAAGCGTGCCTGCTGCAGAAGTTTAACTTATACTTGGGCGGGGTCCGCGAATCTTGTTTGGCGGAGCTTTTTGCCGATGGTTAGTTGTGTTTCTTTACTTATGCATTCTATCATATTAACCGCCATCTTACGATTTATTGGCGCAGGTGTTGATTTCTCCAATTTGGTTAGAATGATGTCGGTTGACGACGTCGTGAAGACTCCGCGAGCTTCGTGCGTTGAGAAAAAGAAGAAGGACAGCGCGCCATCTGGGCGAGTGAAGAGAAAGGAGGTCGAGGCGCCGTTGGTTGCGGAGAAGCCCCGGAAGGCGGCTCGAGTGGCTGTCCAGCCTGAGCAGGAGGCTGAGCAAGCGGCACCGCGATTGCCGTTGGTAGTTGTGGAGCCGGAAGCTTCGGGCGCGCGAGTAGACACATCTGCTCGTCGTGAGAAAGCGGCTGGAAGTTCATCAGGCGCGACCCTTCAGCAGAAGCTGCCTGAGATGGCCTCTACTATCAATTACTTCCGCGACGTGCGGATCCACACCGGCGCGGCGTACAACAGCGCGGCTGCTAATACTGCTCTCCGCGCATTGGGTCCTCACCTGAGTGTCCCAACGCGGCTGGAGAAATCTGACCCTCTGCAGGACCTAGCACAGGTTCATTTCGCGATAAGATTGTGTTTGAACTGTTCGCGCAGTGTGCTCTGTCTGCCTTCTTTATTAAGTGGAATTGTTACTAAGTTTGGTAGCGCTGATTGCAGGGTTTGCTGGCAACCTTCCGAGCCCAGCAGGAGCGAGCTTCGTACCACGCAAAGTTGAAGGCGGAAGAGTCAAAGGTTGTCCAACTGGAGGGCAGGCTCGCGGGAGCTCAGACCCGCGCGGAAGTGGCGACCACTAAGGCCAACGAGGCTATGGAGGAGCTCGGCGTTTTGCAGAGCAAGTTGGCCTCTGATGTGGCGGCGGCGGAAGAGCGCGTAAGGGCTGAGGAGCGCGGCCTAATCCGGGAGCAGATGGAGGCCGATTATGCGGAAAAGCTGAAGCATGCTCGCGAGGAGTTCCAGAAAGAGAAGGAGGACCTGGTCCGCCTTCATAATGTTGCAAAGGCAGAAGCTGTGCGCACAGCTGAGGTCGCTGCCGTCCGCCAGTACAAATCATCCCCCTCTTTTGGGAAGATTTTGGCGGACGCCATGACTAAGATTGTGATCGCAGTTCGCAAGAATGTGCGACCAGAGAACCCAGGGGTCCGCTGGAACACTCGCGCGATGGTGCACCATGTTCAAACCTGGCTGGGCGAGAAGAGATCTTTGGAGTCTGACTCGGAGCCGAAGGATGAGGAGGAGGAGGAGGAGGAGGAGGAGGAGGAGGCGTGCTCGGATGGGGGGAGGATGGGGACGCGGGAGGAGATGCAGGGAAGGATGACCAGGGCGATGCGGCGCAGACTAACACTGGGGATGTTGTAACAGACCAAGTGTAGTCGCGCGCAATTTTGATTTTCTTTCTCCTTATGCAAGTGTAGTCCCTCCCCTTTTTTTTTCTTTTAAGTGTATTTGTTAACCATTCTCCTGCTAATCACAATCATTTCAATCAAGCGTATCTTTACTCTTCATTCGACGCGTAATTCGTATTCTGTGTTCCGTGGGAGCGGATAATTCACAACTCTTGCTATTATTTGTTC